ACCACTACTCTCCCAGTTTGTCCGGCACGCGCCTGCTCATATAACCGCTCAAGCTCGCGATCGTCGGTTAGCAGTTTCTGCAGATTCAAAACGTCTGCACCACCGAGGCCTCCGAGCCCACCCAGCCCGCTTAGGAATCCTCCCCCCGCTCTTACTGGCTGAGCTTGTGGCTTCTTTGTTGTGCGCGCATTCGTCTGCTCCACCGACTGCAATTGCCGCAAGACTTGCTGTAGTTGTGCCGCATCCGGCTGCGCTGAGCTGCGCGTAGCTGGCGTGGATTGCAGCGCAAGCTCGTTGAAACGGTTCACTAAACTCGCCGTGCGTGGCGTTGGTGTGGCGAATTGCTGCGTGCCTGTGCGTGCAACGCTAGCAGGTTTTGCAGTGGGTGCAATGTTCTTCAGCACATTATCTGGATTAATACGCAATCGCTCAAGTTCCTGTAAATTTTCGAGCAACTTGTTAAGTTGGTCGGTGTTAGTTGTTTCGGTCTGGTGATTACCCGAGTTGCCGAAGTTAATATCGATATTCGGATCTATGCGTCTACGTGGTTTTTTCGGTTCAATTAGTAGCGGCTCGCCGTTTGTTATCAGATTGGGTGTTGTAGGTGCAGGAGTAGTTGTGCTCCTTGTGGTCGTAGTCGTCGGTCGTATGGTTGTGGTGGGGCTCAATACTTTCGGATTGATATTTAAACGCTCAAGCTCCTGCAAATTCTCGAGCAGTTTCTCCAGCTCACTGCTCGCTGCTTTATTCGCACTAGCTGGTGTGCCACGTCTCGGCAACTTTGCTGTAGAAATCTCGCTTCCACCAGCCGCGAGCTCAGTGCTTTGGCCCCTCACATTATTGTTTCCCTTCTTCAAATCCTTACGCTTACGGCCACCAACAATACCGAAACGTGTAAGATAACCCTCCACCTCAGGCTTGACGCGTATCTCCTCGCCAATATTTAGTGGCTTGAAGCTCGAATAAGCATCGGGCTTAATCTTCGGCGACAGACTATACCCCTGCAGCTCTTTTAGCTGTGAAATGCCTATCGTCTGTGGCACATAAGTCGATATAACTGGCTGTGGTGCGCTCTCTGCCGCATAGTAATCGTCGATGGTGAATCGATTGCGTGACTGTGTTTGTCCAACAATACCTAAACTCTCTAAGACATCCGCCACTGGGCGTACAGTCGTCGTCTGATCAGGTTTCGGCCTGCGCTGCTTGAGGAACTCAGCATTCTTCGCGCTATAATGGCTGCTATAACGGTGCACTGGCTTTGGCGTTGGATTTCGTTCCATATTCGTTTCATAGATGGCGCCGTTTATGCTATTAGTGACGGGTTGAAAACCGCTGGGTGTGCGCTGAGATGGCGCAGTCATCTTCAGCATGACTGGCGCCGGTGGTAGCGGATGATAAGTGGTCGGGCTGGGCGCAAACGCTTGGCGCGTTTTCAGCGTATAAGCAGGTTTATAGGTGGTCGCTGCGAAGTTTCCAATATTCGCTGTTTCAAGTTTTACTGGCGCGCTCGGATCGGGTGTAATGAATTTGATTGGCTGGTGTGATGTGTAAGAATCGATTACTCTCGTCACAGGCGGGCGTGTGTAGAGCTCCTGTCAGGAATAAAGAAAGTATTATTAGGAGGAATTAATAAAAAGAAAGAAATTCCCGACTTAACCTGTATGTTGCCCTCAGTTTTATTGTCCGTATTGTATGGCAGCACCAGCATGAGCGCACGCATGCTATCCGCGCGTCCCATATCGCCAGCTGCAATGCTTTTTTGGTACTCTTCGCGCGTCACCTTCTCATAGAGCTCCTCGATTTCACCTCTAAAAATTAAGAAAGTGGAAAAAATATTTTATAACAGGTCAAAAGAGGGTTATGAAGGAGTATATTTCAGCGCTATTGAACTCAATAACGCCTTTTTCATAATAAAGTTTAAGGAGAGATGTGAATAAATCATATAAGCGATGTAATCCAAGGGGGCGCATCTATATACATACAATATAATACGCGAAGGCAAACAATCTGCAGCGTTCGCCCGATTTTCAAAAATAGGGTGTCAAATTAAAGCGCTTGGCCTTTAAATGTACAAACTGGTTTTATTTTTGCGAACAGAGTTGCCGCCTATAGAACAATAAAATTCAAATCATTTCATAACCAATGCCATCATAACCCACCGTTCGTTAGATTTTCCAAAGTGAGGTGGCAAATGAAAAGGCTTGGACTACAGATATGTAATAAGGTTTTACTTTTTTAAAAAAAGTTGCCACCTTTTAAAAATTATATTCAAATTATTAAAAAAAAATCAATTATTACAAAATGGGTATCGATGGAATGGTTTTGAAAATCTTTGTTTCATAACTTAACTTTTGGAGGGCTACCACCTGTTTGAAAAATTAAATTCAATTTGAAATAAGTTTGGAGAAATTTGTTTCCACATATGGGTGCCAAGCGAAAGGGCGTTCAAACGGTAGTAGTTTGAAAATATTTTGAAGAGGGTTGCCACCTGCTTAAAATGTCGAATTTAGTTAACTTGTCCACAAGTATATGTAAGATCAAAATATGGATGTCAAACAAAAGAGTGTTAAGAAGTCTTTAGTTTGAACATTAAAAACTATTGGGAGAGGTTTGACACCTGTTTCCAAATTAAATTCAAATTATTAAATAAGTTAGAGGAATTTTTAAAATGTGGGTAGCAATCGAATCGGGTTTGAAAAATCTTTATTTTTTGAACTATATTTTTTAGGGTTGCCACATGCTTTAAAAAAAAATTTCAACTTCATCCATCAGTTAATTATAATATGTATCGCAATGACAGACGAAGGATATCTAAGAATGTCTTAGCGCGAAACTACTTTGCCACCTGTTTAAGTCGATTTTAATTAACTTTTACGCAAGTTATTTGAAATAAGAAGCGAAAGGGTGTTAAGGATACTTGAATTTGAACATTTAGTATGTTTGAAGAAGGTTGCGACGTGTTTATAAAGAGACATTACAGTTATTTAATAAGTTGGATGAAGATGGGATCGTCGAAATGATTATGAAAAGGCTTTTTTTCGGAAATATATTTATTAGGGTTGCCACCTGTTTAATATATCTAACTCAACTTAAATTAAGGCAATTACCGAATTCAAATATTTATTAAAATTTGGGTGTATATATTGGCGACAAATGAATGAGTGTTAAGAAATTTTTAGTTTGAACACTACAAATATTTTTTGGTGTTTAAAGAGGGTTGCCACCTGTTCGCAAATTCAAATGAAAAGTTAAATGAATTATTAAAATATGGGTGTCAATCATAATGCGATTGAAAAGGCTTTATTCTGAAATATATTTAGGAGGGTTGTCACGTATTTTATAAGGGACTTTCAAATTATTTTATAAGGTAAATGATTTTTCAAAGGATGGATATCAAACGAAATGGGTTTGAAAAGGCCTTTCAGATAGGTTCTGCAATTCACTTCCGAGTGAATTTAAACCCAAATTGAGCTTTGTAGAAGGTCACTCGAAAATAAATTATTTAACCGGCCTGTTCAGTTGTGAAATATGAGAGGCCAAAATAAAGGCCATATCGTGTAGTTGTGCGATAAGGTTTTACAATTTGTTAATATTAAAAACCGACTATGCGAAACAGCTGCACGGATTTAGAAGAGATTTGACACTCAAATCGCGTATACCCTGACTAAAATAAGTTTTTAAACTCCTATCTTGGGCGTTTTAACGCCGTGCGGCTAGTACACACCACTACAACTATTCGGGTCACAGACTTGATATACTTACAAACATACTTGGACCAAAAAGCAATCAAGGTTTCTATAATCGTATATAAAGATTTGGAGCACGAAGCCATCCACGCCGTGGATAGTGCCAAGAAAAGTGGCTCAAGATGCTGTCAGTGATAATCGCTAGTGCGAAAGCCCCAAAGAATACGATCTAATAGCCATCTTAGAATCAAAAATGCATTAGATAGCTAAAATAACTAAAGAACTCGAACGTTCCACAGTATGAGAAACCACTGTGCGAGAGTGAGAAGCCATTGTGGAACAACTCATTTAATGGTCGCTGGACTCAGCAGCGGCTACTAAATGCCTATTCCACACGGGGTGCAAAGCTCAACGTTCAAATGTGCTAGTAATGGTTTTAAATAGAACACCAACAGCAATAAAGTAAACCAAGTAAAGTAAAGCGATAGTAAAGCTTGGATCGAAAAAGTGTACGAATAATGCAAAAGGACGCATAATAACCGGCCAATGTATCTCACAAAAAAAAATATCAAAAATATCAAAACGAAGCACAATTCATCCATTTTTTACCTCCACTATACCTTCAATTTATCCCCCGGTTAATTTAACCAAAAATTGTGCAATTTTTTAAGTGCTGAAGAATACTGTAATGGACCTATGTAGTCCCGCAAATAAGCCAAAGTGAGCTTGCAGACACATAAATCTTCGTATGGACGTTATTGGGTTTTAATCATACATATATTCCCCCACTCTGTCCACTTACCTCGTCAGGCGTGGCAACGAAGGGTCTTGTGACAAAATACGCTGCACTTCCTCGATGGTCTCCTCCAATTCGGGTGGCTTGAAAAGTGGTTGCTTCTCAGTTGGACTAAAATAATTTCTTGAATCCGGGAATGGTTGATTAATGGTGGGCAGAGTGCTGAACGGTCGGATTTGAAGTAGAATAAGGCAGAGTAAAAGAATCTTCGGGCGATGATACATTGTGGCTAAAAATAGAAGAATGAAACAAAGTTTTAAAAATAAACCTTTTACAAAGCTATGAGTAACATATCTGCATTTTTTTTGCGCTTTAACCTAAATTGATTGTTTTATACTATGGGAACCCTCCTTTAATGCAATCGTCTTTTTTACCAATTAATTTTTTCAATATTTGAAAGCACTTAATATAACTAAATTTTTAATTTACTCTGCTTTTTTGTCTAATACTTATTAGCTTAGCTCCCAGCCATGTTCAACACACTCATAATTGCTCACTTCGCTGTTCAAAAAAAGAAAGATTCAGCATAAATGCCGGTATTTCATAACCTCTCAAACGCCGCTCATAATTTTTAATCGCACTCAACAACTTTTAATAACACTTTGAGCAAATCTATTTTTGTACTGACATATGTATGTGCATTGCGTTCATGAGTTTATGCTTGTAGGCATATTCAACTATTGGACTTTACTCGCCATTATTTAGACTTGGCGCGAGTTTTTTGTTTTAGCACTTAGTGCGCATTCGACGCAAGCAATAGCCGCAAAACAAGGTACTTAATTTGATTTTGCTTTGCTGGCAATTAAAAATTCTTTATGTTATTAAGTTGATTGCTATAAAAAAAAATTGCACTTTGCTTTAATGTTGATGGTTTTTCCAAAGCAGTGTCCATTCAAGCCAAAAGCAATAACAAACTCTTCTCGTCGATGCTTATTGTCTCTGGTTAAGCAGTTAATGGAAGCATGAAGTAAATTTTCAGATAAGCATAGCATCATTGCATCGTATACTCTGTATGTAGCAATCACTAAACTATCGCCGAAACTGATGCCCAATACAGCACGGAGATCTCACAACGGTGGTGTGCGAACGCAGTCGCATGCATAGCAGGCTACTAACGTCAGCATACCTACCGTACGAGGAGGAGTAACCACCATCAACTGCTTTCCGACAGCTTGTGATGCATGCTCAAGCACGCAGGCTGGACTTGGTAATTGGTTGTGATACAAATGGACATCATGAATTTTGGGGAAGCTCCAACACTAATACTAGGGGTGAGTCCATTTTTGATTTTATTCTTTCTACTAACCTAGTAACAAGGGTAAATGGCCAACGTTCCATAATAGGATTAGGGAAGAAGTTATTGATATAACACTGGTCACCAACTCAGCTACAGCCATGATAAATTAGTGGAGGGTATCGGACACGTGTTCTTTTTCAGATCAGAGCAGGATACTATTCACAATAGATTCAGAGGTAGCAGTATCACGACCATTTAGGAATCCGAAAAAAGCGGATTGGAAAACTTTATCTGAATTAGCGTCCAACACACCAAGGGAATGGTCAATTCAGATCTATGGCACGGAAGCTCTTCAACAAGGCTAAATGCAGCCGACGTGAGGAAGATTGGAACAAATATAAAATCATCTTTAACAAATACAAGAGTAGTATTATGGCTGCAAAGAAAGAGTCCTGGCAAGAGTTCTGCGGAATGCTGAAGACGACAAATGAGGCGTCGAGGCTCTGCAGGGTACTAAACAGTTCGGACGCGACTCTGGGAAGTGTCTTGAGTCCAGATGGCTCTGAAACGGCCTCCAGCCTGGAAACTCTTGAATGTTTAATAGGTACCCACTTTCCAGGCAGCACAGACCAAATTTTTAGTAATCATGTGACAAATCGGCCACGTGCCCCTTTAGAAGAGGTTTCAGGTATTATGAACAATGAAAAAGTAGCTTGGGTCATCAAATCTTTAAATCCATTTAAAGCAGCGGGACCGGACGGCGTGATTCGAAAGATGCTTAGAAAGCGGATAGCGGAGGAGCAGAATAATCAACGCCACCATGGGCACAGGATCTGTGAGAAGGAAAACCATAATGGACACGTCTCAAAGGGGTGTGCTATCCCCTCTCCTCCGGCTCCTGGTGGTGAACGAAATTCTTGAGACCTTTAAAACCAAGAGAATGAGATTGGTCGCCTACACCGACGATTTAGTGGTACTGGCAAATTCCTGTCAACGATAAGTGAACTAATGGAGAGTTCACTAGGTGATATCTCTAAGTAGGTCAACCAGAATGAATTGGTGGTAAAGCCCTCCAAGACAGAACTGGTATTGTTTACAAGGAAAAAAAGTACCAACTTTTTTTCTGCTGAAATTAGGGTAATCCACTTTGAAACTCTCCTTCGAGGCAAAATACCTTGGAATTATTATGCCCTCCAAGTAAAATTGGAAAAATAATTTAGAGGAGAGAACCAAGAAATCTCTAGCAGCATTCTGCACGTGCAAAAGGACCTTTGGAAAGTAATGGGGACTATCACCGTACGGGATGTACACCACAGTGATTAGACCAATTCCAACCCACGGGTCCTTGGTATGGTGGAGATCCTTGAAAGAGTTATTCATAAGCACGACGACTGGAAATTATCGCGGTATCAGCCTTCGAAACCCACTGTCAACGAACTGGGTGGGGTTTGTCAGTGTGGCTTTGGAGCTGGAAAATTCACCATAGACCTCGCATTCTACATATACCAACTCACAAGAATAGGTTTGACACACTATCTATGTATTTGTTGATTTTAAATTCGCTTTCGACAGCACGAAAAGAAGTTGCCTTTATGCGGTGATGCCTGAACATGGTCTCCTAGCGAAGTTAGTACGGTTGTGTAGAATGATGTAAAGCAATACCACCAACTTCGTCAGAATTGGGAGGGACCTCTCCGAGCCGTTTGAAACTTTATGAGGCTTAAGACAAGGAGACTTTTTACAGTGTGGAGAAAATTATGTAGACCTGAACCGTTCTGGTAGAACTTTTTATACAAGCGTACAATAGCTGGCATTCGCCGACGACATCGACAGCTTCGGTAAATACAAGCGCTACGTCTGTCCTACCTTCTCGGTGGAGAAGCAAAGCGCGTGGTTCTTGTGGTGAATGACTACCAAACCAAGTATCTCCTGACATCTGACATGCCACAGGCGCTTTCGCACCCCGGCACCCGCATCACGATGACAGTTATAAATTCGAAAAATTTTACTACTCCGCTGATTTAGGACCAGTATTAACACCAATAAAAATGGCAGTATTGTAATCCAAAGGAGAATCACTTGTGCAAACAAGTGCTACACTGGACTGAGTAGACTACTGAGAAGTAAACATCTGATGTGGTGGCTCTTGGACTTTTCTAAAAAAAAGATTGTATCGAAGATTTACGGGCCTTTGCGCATTGGCGACGTTGAATAACGCAGAAGATGGAACGATGAGCTGTATGAGCTTTACAACGATATAGACATAGTGCAGCGGATTAAAATACATCGGCTTCGCTAGGTTGGCCATGTCGTTGAAGAAGGCCTCCTCTGCGATGGCAAGACCAGGTACAGAAGGACTTGGCTTCAATTGGCGTCAGTTGGCACAGAACAGAAACGACTTGCGTGCTTTATTGGAATTGGCCAGAATCGCTTAGTCGGTTACAGCGTCAATCAAGAAGAAGGAGATATGTATGTTTATGTAAATTTTGTACATACATTCAATTTACATATCGTCGTTTAAAGTGCAAAACCGCGTATCAACAAAATGCAAAACCGCGTATGTGAAGTTGTAAAAATTATTTTCTAGAGCGTAAAAACACCAATATTTCAAAATGGTTCTCGTTTTTCTAAAGTAATCGCATTTCTGGCTAGTATATATCAGGGCGAATGGATAAGAATTGAACCAAGAGCTTGTGTGAGCAAATCCAATTTTTGGCAGCCAATGTCAGTTACGCGGTTTTGCAGAATTACGATACGCGGTTTTGTACTTTAAACGACGATATGTGTATGTATGGGCTGGTAATCTGAAAAACGCTGAAGTAATCTCAGCAATGAACAACAATAAGAAATAGAAAAAATTCATAAATATCCCAAAAAAGTCAGGTGTATGTAATTGTTTAGCTGTGCAGCTTACTTACTTTAAGTAATAAATATGAGCTTGAATGCTCGTATGCATATGTTACCCTCAAGCGCTTATCTATTAAGAGTTGACAACGAGCTTGCGCATGCGCAACAAAACTGTCATTTGCACGTGCCGTCAAGCATGAAGAGTTGCTCTAGGGAATATATACATAGTTGGCGTTCAATTAAATGTGTGTTAACATATGTACTTGTATTTTAGTACATATGTATGTACACATACATACAGATGTTCATCCATATTTATATGTAGCAATTCATAGCAAGATTGGGATCTTTGGGTAAGTAGTCGGAAAATAAAGGCTCTAAGAGCAAATCGTCGTGTAAAGTACAAAACCGCGTATCGTCATTCTGCAAAACCACGTAACTGACATTGGCTGCCAAAAATTGGATTTGCGCACACAATCTCTTGGCTCAATCCTTATCCATTCGTCCTGAAATATGCTAGCCAGAAATGTGTTTGCTTTACAAAAAAGATAACCATTTCGAAATATGAGTGTTTTTACTCTCTATAGAATAATTTATGCATTCTCAACTATGCGGTTTTGCATTATCTTGATACGCGGTTTTGTACTTTAAACGACGAAATATTTGTTAATGGACTGAATCTGATCGACATGGTTGAAGTTTATCGAAAAACCATAGATCGGATTAGCCGCATTGCGATAGATGTAAGTGACGCGAGTCCAATAACATTTGTTGTTCTCTACACTGCGCCACTGAAAACGTAATTGGACTCCAGCGAGCACGAAAACTAACTCTATTACCACAGTTAAATTTGACTTTTAAACAGATGGCATCCTTCTGCAAAGATATTTTGGAGATAGAGAAAATTGTCGCTAACTGGTTACAGAATCTCCACCCAGGTTAAGTTATCTTTCTTCTCGCTCTTATAACTACCCCTGGTAAAATATCACCATGACCTAAACTCCTCTGACTTGACATTCACAAGAAAATTTAGCTTCTAAATTGAACTGACTTTGAATTACTGAACAGGTGTTAACTCTATCCAAAAATATATACGAAATGAAAAATTTGAAATCACTCTCGAATGAGATCTTCATAACAAATTATTTTAATTGATTTTTTGTTTCTAAACAGGTGGCAGCACTCTTCAAAAATAAAAATAAAGAGATAAAGTCTAAGACATTTTCCGATTGACAGCTACATACGAATTTGTATTAAAAGATTTCAATTAAATTACTTATCTATAAAACTTATTTTAAATTTTTAACCCGGTGGCAACGCGCTTACGCCTCTTCTTATGGGTATCAAATATTAAATAATTTAATATAATTTGCTGATTAAATTTATTAGAATTTCTAAGCAGGTGGCAAACCTATTTCGAAATATTTTCGAAAAAAACCCCATTTCGTTCGACTCGCACATTATTGTGAAATTGTATATAGCTTTTTACTTAATTGATTTAGCTTTTGAAAAAGGTGGCAACTCTCATTAAAAAATCTACCTTAATCGAGGTTATAATATATTTATGCGCTTAATTTCAATGAAATACGGTCAGATATTAGCTATTTTAGTGTGATAGAGCAACACCATATTCACATTTATGATGTCGAGCCCTAACCCAAAATACGTATGCGATTTTTTATTCAAAAATATTCCTTTTGATACAGAAATACATCCAGGAGCATTTCTGCATCAAAACTAAAATATAGAAAAAAATTTCGCTTACGTTGTTTGGCGGTTAGGAATTACGTTTTAAACATGCGAACCTTTTAAATATTAAAAAAAATAAAATAAGGAATGACAGACAGACGGCTTTTTTTAATTTTTATTTTAATTATTTTAAAGCATATTTACATACTTCTCTTTTGCATCCAAGTTTCCCGCGCTTTAAACTGTTTAATGTGATATTTCCTTTCATTTTCGTTGAAAAATTCTTGTGAAAATCGTGAAATCGTTCGCAAAATTTTCCAAATCTATTTAATCGTATAGCATTTTCCACATTTTAATATTCAAATTCGCTTTTCAAAATGATGTCTCAACAAATCTATTGGGATGAACACAAGGATGTGACGCTGGACGCCAAGCCGCGCGATGTGCTCATACGTGACATCCCACAAAAATGGCTGGCACGCATTTGCGATTACATGGTGGAGAATTCCTTTCGGCTCAATCGCCTCTACACGCAACTAAAAATTCACGACATACCCAATGTGGAAGAATACTATCGTCGCTACGTGAAGCATGTGTTGCACGACGAATGCAGCATTATGGTGATCGACGAAGAGACCAGTGAAATATTCGGCGTCGCACTTGTCAAGTTGATGACCAAGGAGTGGCGTTCGTGGACAATTTGGCTGCAAATTATCGACCAATCCACACTGTACGGTGAGTTTATGCTGCTGCGTCGCATGCAAGTGCTCAATTTCGAGAAAGAACATCCGGAGCATGAGTACGATAGCCTGCACCTCTTCGAGTATTATCTGCGGCCGGAACTGAAGGCGAATGTTGACTTCATGACCAAATTCTTCAACGTCATCTGTGAAGTGGCCCGCCACATGTTGATGCCACGCGTCAGCCTCGTCGGCACAATGCTGGAGGAACAGCAGCAAGCGGAAACAGCCGGTTTTCAACCGCTCTCTCAACTCATCTACTCGCTGGTGGAGGTTCAAGGTTTGCGCGCATTTCAGACACTACGCGACATCAACGAAATGTATATGGTGTTGTACGAGCGGTCAGTCGAGCCTCTTATGCCCTTCTATTGCTTGCCACCACCGTATGCGTTCGACGAGGAGGATCGCCGGAAGCACGAACCGTACACAGTGTTGGATCAGGGAGTGGATGCGCTGGATACTGATAGCAAGCGTTCGTTATCGCGGATAATGATAAAGTAGCGCCAGCAAAAGGTACTTGCGACTGCTTCTCAATGATGAGAGTTGTATTCTTTGTTCTAACTTTTTGAAAAAAAAATAAGTAATCGCGAGTGTATGAAATTGTAAATTTTTATCAATATCTTAATACGAAATTGAAAAAATTTACAAAGTGTTGTCTCGTTCACAAATTTAGAAGACAAATCTATTATTACTTGAGTATATAAGGATAAGGTTGCCTACAACTTATTCTATTGGCTTGGTTGGTTAAACAGCGTCCTGCTGTTTTTCCTCAGTGCTGAAATATACGAATACCACCAGTGAGGATTCTCTTTATCCTTCGGGAGGATGCTTGGGCAACAGGCCCCAAAAGCGATATAGACATATACAGAGTTATTTAACGTGAAAATTGCAAGAAAATTTGAATTCCCTGAAAATTCAATTACAATTTTTTAAAAGAAACGTGATAGGTATTTTTAAAAAGTTTTCTTATGTGTTTAAGAGGTGGGTGTTGCCGGAAATAAAGACTTCCGGGATGTTAAACGGTTCAAAGTTGACCGACGTATTACTCGAAAGGACGGTTCGGTTAAATAGAAAATGAAATTCTGACCACACTAACGAAGAATAAAAAAAATTGGAAAAAAGGGTTACCTTCATAGAATCATTTTTGCATGGAAAACAAGTTTTTACATGGTGAGAAAAGTTCCAGAAATAAACTCCGTCAAGAAAGATACTGCAAAAGAGAATAAAACTCTCTAGGCCAAGAATTTCATCCATCCGATTTCCTAGCAAATGCAGCTGAAAAATTGAGAGCAAAAAAAATTGGCAGCCCGTCTATATGGCATTTCACCAAACTGTCCCAAGCTATGACCGAATGAGAAGGACTCAAAAAATGTCACCAAAGACCTTCATGGCTTTGAAAGAATGTGCGCTTCAGCAGCTGTGAGGGAATGTTAGGCACTATTACATATATAAACGCTAATTGGCGAGATTCGGCGGAAAATTCAAAACATCTTATTAAAAAATAATAGCTCTTGTTTTTTACCACTTTTATTCAATAAAATGCTTTTATTTTTGAAAATCTGACAACTGGTTCAGAACACTTCGGCTTCATTGCACCGAACAATTTTAGTCGGCGCAGTCCTTATACCTATGTATTTACCAAAGGTTGATATCTATGTGGAAAAGAAGTATCGAAACTATAGCAGACAAATCGCGCTATACGGGTATATAGCATAGGCATTCATTGGTGTAGAAAAATTACAGGTGGTTAACAGTTTGGTCAAAATTATTCGGCTTATCGCTGGTAGCTAGGAACTCATTTGCATTCCCCGCAATTAAATATTAATTAAATTTTTTTTATGATACATTGTGTCAAAAGCTTTTGTTAAGAAACTATGTAAATAATACATGCAAAGACAAATACAGATTGTAAATTGTAATTAACGCGAAGTTAAAAAACAAAAATGTGAAAGTACAAAATTCCAATAAAAACCAAAGCACTCAAAATAGTCGTCATACAAGTTTTATTTTCAATACACACAAAAGAAACAAAGCGCAGTAAGTTTGAATGGCTTTTATTTGATAAGTATTTTTTTGACCTCTAAATGGTATATTCAAACCACAAAATAAAGTTCGCTCAAGCACATGAAGACAAATGCTGGGAAAGAAATACATACACACATATAAATGTATAATTTAAAGAAAAAGGAAATGCCTTCAATGTCAGCGAAATAAATTATTCCCAAAGCTCTGCAGTTTCATAGACCTAAAATGCACCCAGAGAAGATGCCATTAAGGTACTAATTGACAAACTAGTTATGTAGATACATAGTTAGTTATAAGCACAGCTTTGTGTTAAGTGTTTAGCGTTCATTATACTGAAGATTAAAGTTAAATTTATTTAATAAATAACTCAGCTTAAAAATCTTAGAAATGCGCTATTTATGTAAATACATATGTACATACATATAAGTATAAGTATAGCAGGAAGATATATACATACATAAATTGAGCTTAAATTGAGCCTGCTAAAGCAGCCGAGACAGTAGAATGCTGAGACGAATATAAACATCTTCTCAAGATATATAAAAAAAAATTCTGTATGCGAGAAGGACTTCATGGAACAACTTTTGTGGGGAATCAGAAAACACATTTGAAATAGTTATCTAGGCTTAAAAGGAAACTCATGAAAAAGAATCCTATTTGTAGTCTCCTAACAAGTAGTGAGGGAGAGTGGACTCAAAACGGTTATGAAACGTTAGAGGAGCCGTTGAAAGAGCATTTCCCAAACTGTCGACCAATAAATGATATGAATCAGGATCTCCCTTTGAAAACGGGGATACACACCATATAAATCACTTGGACCCGATGGCTTCAGAAATCAGATCCAATCACTCTTTATTGGCCAGAACAGCTCTTCAATGCTTTCAGTAGGCTCTCGCATGTGCCCATTTCGTGGAAATAATTTTTTTCTTAGGCATACTCCGTGAGACGAATAAAAGGCGATCAGAACAAAGTGTATGCAAAGTTTAAATGGCCAATTTACGCCTCATTAAACTTGCACGTAAACCACCAAGGGTGGCAACCATCTTCAAGTGACTGTAGACTTATGGTGCGTCTCATAGGTTAGCTAGTCACGCCCTTAAAATCGGTAATAAATACAAAAATTTATAATCGCATTCGGTGATCCTATCTTGCATTTTCTTGGCTAATATGGTTTAAGTTTGATGATTTTAAAATTTAAGTCAATTAAAATTTTTTATTAAGTTTAATGAATTATTGTAATATGGATATCAAGCGAAATGCTTTCCAAGAAGCTTTATTTTTAACAACATGTAGGGGCGTTTTCACCTCTTTAAAAAACGAAATTCAACTTAATTCATTTGTTAATTGATACACATATATAAATATCAAACTCTCAGACGATTTACCTCTTTAATTTGAAAATACTTTCAAATAATTCAAAAATTCATATGAATTATTGAAGTGGCACCTTTTCATTGAATTCGAAGAAGTTTTGTTTGAAATTTATTGAAAATTTCCACAGGTTTAAGTTGACGTCAAAAGCTGTAAGGAATAGTATGACGAATTTCTTCCAGCATCCAGAGATTTCTACCGTCCTTTCGTCAGTAATTTTAAGTTTTCTCTTTCGATACCCACCGATTTCCATGGAAATTAAAAATGAAGCTTTGTAAGATTATTACAAAATATGTACCATTTTTTTGATTTTTCAAAACCACTTAGAACATTATCAATTTACCGAACTTTTATTAGTCCCCTCCTACATATACAATACAATAGCACACCCGGCGAACTTCGTCCCGCCCAAAATTATTATTTTTATTTTTTGATTGGAACATTTTGGTCCAACATTTTCACCAACAATTCACGTTCTCGATTTCCAGGGCACATTTATCTGCAAATATTGTAGTTTGGTGGTCGACAGAAGGCATATTTCCATTAATAATAATAATAGATTGGCTCTTACACATATGTTAGCGTTTGGCCGAGCTTCGCCTCCGACTTGTGGCGTGCGCCTTGATATTGTCACACAAAGCGGAGGGACCTACAGTTTTACGCCGACTACGAACGGCGAATGTATTTTTATGAGAAGCTGTTTTTCGTGGCAGAAATACACTCGGAGGTTTGCCATTGCCTGCCGAGGGTCGACGGCTTATAAAAAAAGCCTTTTTTGTGTTCTTGGGTGGAATGTGGAATGTTAGCACACTCTGCTAACCACTACAGCACAGCGGCCACCAATTCAATATACATATACTTATTTCAGATGAATTACTTTAAAAGTCTTATCAAGGAGCGCTATGGTTCTAATGGTTGTTTTAACGGTGATAATTTGGGATATACCTTGTTTATATGGCATCAAACGCGGTATCGAATTAACTCGAGTCAGTGTAACTCGCTTGTAATGCAAGTTTTTATATGCAAGAAAATGAAATGAGTCAATGGAACACACTTTGAAACAGTATCCAGAAGAACCACCAAAATACACACGAAAAAGAATTTGTTAAAATCGGTTCATACTAGAGATGGGCACGGGCCGGAATATTTGCTGTCAGCACGAACTCGTGCGTGCATGGGCGTTCAGTAAAATTTCATAAAAGCACGAATAAGCACGAAAAAGCCCATTGCTAGTACTACAAATTTAGATAAGCTTTTGTTTTTATACAAAAAAAAGTACATATTAAAACTCTTTTGATAAGAGAAAAGCAAAAAAGAAATACTTGGGAACTGATAGAAAAAATAAGATACTTAGTAGTTTTGTTTACATATCTGTACATAAAATATCTTCCACTGATTCGCTTAAGTAAATATACATACATAAACACAAAATTAACAAGTAATTTTTAGCAAAAAAAAACGACTTAAAAAAAAATATATATATTTCATGATCCACTGATCGAATCTAAACCAGCTTACTATGGGACCACCTCTGAGATACAACCTTTCCGATGCAAAAACAGTTATCGAAATCGGTTGACGTGGTCCAAAGTTATGCGGTAACATACATAAAAAAAAATATTTCGACGAACTGATAACCTCCTCCTTTTTTGGAAGTCGGTTAAAAATATGTACATATGTATACATACAATAAAAGTTGGCTCTTTATTTCCGGGCTAGGACGTGTCTCGTCGGGCCGGGCCGGGCCCTACTAAAATTCTTAACGTGCGGGCTCGTGCGTGTTTTTGAAAGTTGACTTTGCACTCGTGCCGAGCCGGGCCTGACAATTTAGGCCCCTGTCCATCTCTAGTTCATACACAAACACACGAACAGAAGAATTATATACATACAAAGATATGTAAAAGTTTCAGAACGTTAAGAAGGTGCCACGCCCCTTTTAACAAAGCCCGAATTTTCTCCATGAGTATGGTATTGATTTCATATACGTCAATACCAAGTTTCAGTAGTCTACCTTGAACACTTCCAGAGAAAAGCAATATGAAAAATTCGATATGTATGGAAGGTGCCACGCCCCATTCACCTAGCGGTATGAATTATATTGTACG